ACGAATTTATATAAATTAAAAAAATAAAATATTTACAAAATATTTAATTAAAAAAAAAAAAACATAAGCGTTAATAAAGCATTCCAATCATACAATTTCACTGCTAGAAAAAACGTTATAACAAAGTTCTCCCCAAAGGCAAAGCTGCAATAACCAAGACCGTTTTTCTTTTCTTTTGTTTTCTTTTTTAGGCCAAGATTGTTTATTCCCCCCTATATTCAATAATAGTTGTTTTAGTTCCTTTTAAAAAAAAAAAGATTAAAAGTTCAAATAAAATTTATCATATTATAAAAATCACAATATTACATAAAATTTTCAAATTAATTTACCACATAAATTTTTTAAATTAATTTACGTAACACTAAAAAATTAAAACAACTAAAACAAAAAAATAATTATAAATTATTAAATTAAATAAAATTACTATCTATTAATTTCATACATCCCATATCACAGGTTAATTAGCAGTCAAAGATGAGTAGAGGGGAATGGAAAGTGGAAGCGCCTGCAGTGGCATGCGTGTCGGGAGGTTGAGCTGATCAAGGCCACACGGTTGGCCACTTGGACTCATCACATTACTTTTTATCCAAATCCAATGAAATATTTTTTTTGAAAAGGTTGATTGCCTTTTAAATAATGAAGTAAATATACTTGGACAGGGGACTGCTTTGGAAAACACCCCACCCTCCTTTCGTACGGCTTCTGCTCATCTTTACTCTTTTGGAGTCTGTCTCTTTCTTTTCCACTTTTCAAACTCACTTCACCCATTGTTGTAGGCCTTGGGCCTGTTTTCGGTCAATTAATGGGCTTTTGAAGCCCAATTATACTATAATAAAATGAAGGTGATGTAAAATTTGGAAGTTGGAGAACAAGTATTAATTAATAATCAACAAGTTTAAGTGAAAATATCTCCGTTCTTCTTAAATAAAATTTTAAATTTGACTTTTGTAAATAAATTGATAAACATTGAAAAAATTTACCTCTTTATGGGGTTTAACTAAGTTCAATTTCAAATTAATTAAAACTCAATATAACTTTTAGACAGTAAAAAGTTTAGTTTAAAAAAAAAAAAGCACTAGAGAGTTTAGTATAAATAAATAAATTAATAGTCAGTTAGCATTCCATGAATGCAAAAGTGTTTGCAATTTGGAGTAGAACGAAAAGGCCTTATATAGTTTGAACTACATAATGTTTTTATTGTATGGAATAGACTCTTTATATTAGAAACTCCTTTTCAAACTGTAAAACAAAAAATTATTCAGCCAATATTAATTGTTATAAGAGCTAAACCAAGTAGAACTAAACCAAGTATATTCTCAATGGCAGGGTTTGAACTCAAAACATGCAATATAAGCTTTATGGTTATCCAACCCATACATAAATTGTAAGACCTTAACATACAGTTGGAACTCTAATGTAGAGATTATTAAGAGCTCATCTCTACTAGAAGGCCTTGTGTTGTTATTAGAGTTTAGCTTGATGGGGTAGAAAGCTTCCATAGTCGATCCACATAGCCTTTAGAGTCCACATCATGTTGCATCCTTACAAAACCCTGCTCTTTCTAGTTGGTTCCCTTTGAGTTCTTCACAATTTAGTACTTGGTTCCATCCTAGGTTTGTCCATATCCCACAATTGCCACCCCATGGTCTAGGTTTGTGCCACAGCTTTCAATAAGGACTCCTTGAACACAATCCACAAGGTCATGAAGGTTTTAGGCTTGAACTTAGGATGAGCATAAAGGAATTTGAGAAAGTAAGATTGATTACCTTAGATTAGAATAGGAATTCCTTGCAACTAGAATCAATAGCAATAGCCATAGGCTAATTTGCAATAGCCTTCATCAAAGCCTTCTCTTCTCTTTCTGGAACCATTTCATACCCATCAAATATGACCCTTGGAGAAGCATTAAACAACTTGGTCAGTAGTGTTCTAAAAATATACATGTTGATACACTATTTTATTTGCCTACACTCTTTATCTGAACAAACCTATATGCAACATTTATCAAACACTCTAACTCCACATAGATATTGAACACTTAATCCCAAGCACATGTAGATTTAATTTACCTTGGAGGAGTCATAGGATTCAGATTTGGCTTCAATGGGATAGTTCTTCTCAGAAGTCAGACCACCACTCTTAATTAAGAAGGCAACTGCATGTTCCATCAATCCTCCATCACAACCCTCATTATCATGATCATAGTCAACTAGTTCTTGCGTAGATAAACTAATTAGATCCCTTGTTTTGATCTTGTTTATCCTCTTCCTCACAACCATCAAGGTTGTCAAAATCAAGATTTTACCTAAGATTAGAAGGGGCAGATGAGATCACAAATAAGATTGTACGATCCTAGCAAATTAAATTTGTGTATTTACATAATTAACAACAATAAATATAAACTATGTCAATGTCCCAAAATAAATTGTTAAGTTTGTTCATTGATGAAATAAGTCTAAAATGAAATATTTAAAACTTCAAATATGAAATACTTAATACTTAATAGTTCATAATATAATTTAAAAGCTAAACAATAATTGCATATAGTAAAAAACCATCAAAATAACAACTCAAAAAGCATCCTCCATGTCATTGTTTTCTTTAGCTTCTACATCTTGATTTTCCTCATCATCCTCATCATCAACAAAAGTGCTCTCCAATGAATCATGCTTCTCCAATTCATCTTCTTTGTCATCTCTACAAAATCATCTTCCACGTCATCTTCACTTTTAAGATATATTAATTCGTCATTTGTTTGGGAGTCAACTAGCCATTCATCATCTAAAGAGATATCATCTAACTCAACTTACTTCCTCACTTGTTTGTCTTTCAATTTCAAGTTGTACATGACAAATGCCAAATCATTCCCTTTTTTTTTTTTTTTATGTAGACAATTTCTCCTTTTTGTTTGAACCTACAACAATTCATTTGTTATAAAATATTAAGAAAAATCAATATATGACAATATAAAAAACTAAGTATTAATTAGACTAAATTTAAAGGATAATGAAATTTTATCATCTCAAAACCACTCCATTTACGTTTCTAGTCGGATAAACTGCAAGTGAAACTAAGAATTTGAATTGCAAAATGTTGCAATTCAAGACAATTATCTTTATAAGAATCCCACCAATTAGCTAAAAATATCTTATTCCACATATTTCTTGCTTAAGTCCTCCCAAGTGTTCCCTTACGAGCCTTGAAAAGATCAATTTGAGAATCAATTCTATTCCTTTTATCTTGATTCAACACCATCCTTTCCAAGCAATCATATAAACCCTTTTTAACCTCTATATCAACCTTGTAATTGTTTTTAGGATTTGGATCAAAACGAAGATGAGGATTCAAAAAATATGTAACTACATGTAATGGTCTATAAAGTTGAGATGTGAATCTATCATTGATAATTTTCCCAATATGCTATAATTTTTTTTAAAAAAAAGAAAGAAAGAAAGAAAGAAAGAAAAAAAAATAGTTGAGTATTAAAATGTAAGTAATTAATTATATCAAGTAAACAATTAATCATACCTTTTCTTGACAATCTTAAAACTTTCTTGAATTTTTTTCTTGCAATGATCTATATCTTCATAAATGAAGGCATGGCTAACTTCTCATCAAAGTCCACCAAACGAAGCACCTTAATGAGTGGATATGCAGCCTTTAAACATGTAGTAATATTCTGCCAAAAGTTTTTATTCAAAACCATTTTCTCCTCAAACTTTCCATCTCTCAATTTTGAATACTTACTATGTTTTCATTTACTAGAGGAAAACATGGACACTAATGCACCCTTCAATTCATTGAGGCACCCTAAAGTAAGAAATGAGGTAACAAAATGAGTGATAGCCAATCTAATTTAATCCTTACCTTTGGTAAACTGCATCATCAAGGAAACAAGTAGAGTTCTTGAATAAATGAAAATTGTTACTTTTTTCCCTTGTAAATTGTATCTCTATGAATATCTAATTGTTTCTCAAAATCTTCCAACTTTAAATCAATGCAGTGTGCTGCACAAGGTGTCCAAAGTAATGTTTTTTTTTTTCTCCATTGACATCTCTCTTGCAGCTTTATAATTAGCAACATTGTTTGTAATGACTTGCACAATATTTCCTTTCCCTCACTTTCTCAACGATATCATCTAACATCTTAAAAACCTTTTTAGTAGTTGTTGAAATTTTAGATGTATCAATTGATGATAAAAAATTGTTCCCATGGGACTATTCACCAAAAAATTCATTATAGATTGCTATTTTTTGTCACTTCATCCATATGATATAATAGTGCAACCAGTTCTTGTCCATTCTTTTTTATGCTTCTCAAGCAATTTATTTGTATGGCTCACCCTTCAAATATGTTCTCTAATCTAGTGATAAGAAGGAGGTTTTTACCCATCCCATACCTCCTAATTGCCTCACACATTTGTATAGAATATGAAGTCTTCACAAAATTAAAAGGGATTGCACTTGTGTAAAAAAAATATGGCAACATGTTGATGTGCTTCCTCCTTCAAGTTTCAACATTTGATTAATTGTGAGTTGAGTGCTTTTGGATCTCCTAAGCAAATAATCAATAGTATACTTTTTTTCCATCACTTTTGTTTTCCCAGTACCACCTCTTCATCACTATCATCACTTCCTCCATCCTCACTATTGAACCCTTGTTCCATTTTTGAATGCTCTAATTGATTTAGTAGAACTTCAAGTATTTTTTGTCTAACATCTTCTAGCACACTCAGACATGGTCCAACATTATTTTTAGTGCCTACCAAATGATGTTTAAAATAAAATGTACATGTAGTAACTTCCTTTGAACAATACTTGTATTTAATTTTTCTAGAAGTACTGTCTATATTAATACCATGTTCCCAACCAATATCACTTCTATTTCTTGAAGCATTTTTTTACACATTTCTCTTAAAAGAGATACCACCACTACCTAAAGTTATGAAAGCTTACAAGTCAAATAAAAAAGATAATGTAAATGTAATAATTGTTAATAATAATTGTTATTATTAACATAAAAAATAAAAGAAAATTAAAAAAATAAAACAAGTTAAAAAAATAAATTAGGTAAAATTATTATATAAACAGTAATTTTATAATTTTATATTAAACAATTGTAATAACACTATTCTAAATAAAAAAAATAATTATATTATACAAATAGAATATAAATATGTTTTTATTATACATAAATAGTAAAATATTTTCACATATAAACGATAAATACAAAAATTAAAATTAAATATATCAAAGACAAATGAAAAAAAAAAGTACAATTGGAGTTTTGGTTTTCAATGCAAGGGACGACTCGGTGAGTCGCACGGCAACGCAGATAGCATCAATGACAATACAGCACTGATAGCAACACAAAACCAATGACAATGATGAAGTTTTGGAGATGGAGATGTTATTACTGTATTTACCGTAGTCAGAGCAAAACAACAACTAATTTTGAAATTTAAAGTTTAATCGATTTTTTGATGCTGTAGAGGAGATGAAGATGTTAGCAGATGTTTTAGTTGCTAATTTTGAAGATTTATGTGAAAAATTAGGAATTTTTATTATTTTATTGATTAAAAATTCTTAATTACCATTCATAACCCCAGAAGAATTTGGTTTTTAAAATTGTTTAAGATTGCACGATCTTGTGCATGATTTTCGATTTTTTTTTCAACAACCTCGATTTTGGTACTATTTAGATCATTGATGCCATTTAACATCGTAAGATCACACGATCTTATGATTAAGCTCGCAATTCTTAACAACCCTACCAACCACTATTGAAAATGCCCAACAGCTACTTATAGAAGAAAAAGTATATATCACCAATATCAATACTTTTCCTTTTCATATGAACTATAGAGCATTAATACTATGAGGACACGTTCACTGTTATTGAGTTTTGAATATTCAATTGAATTTCTCCATCATTATCTATTTTTGTTATTAAAATATTTTACTAGTTTATCAAATCCTTTTTGTTTTTCTGTAAATATTGTTTTTTATTATTTGTAAATATGTATCCTGCTTGTACCCCACTATACATGGGAAGTTTGATGTATTGCTTTGTATATATATTTTTAATGGAAAGCACAACTTAAGTCATTGAGTTCTCACTCAATTTACATGGCTTCAAAGCAATGCTAAGTTTAAATCCATTCATTAATGGCCAAAGAGAGCGCAAATCCTTCCATTGTTAAAAACTACAACAATCCATATTATCTACACCCTTTTGACAATCCTAGAAATGTTCTTGTATCCAATATTCTTACTAGAAACAATTATTCAACATGGCATTGTGCAATAAAGGTAGCCCTCATCACCAAGAACAAGCTAAGATTGATGGATGGTACACTCAAACAACTAGTCGCCAATTTAGAAAATTTTTCATCTTCGATGAGTTGCAATACAATGGTAACATCTTGGTCACTTAATTCCAATGACAAGGAGATCAGTGACAATATTATTTATTCATACATAACAAGTACCATTTGAAAGGAATTGGAGAAACGATGCTATGAAGGTAATGTTGCCAAAATTCATCAACTATGTCGAGATGTCGTTCTATGTTGCCAAGAACATTTATTTGTTGATGTATATTTCAACAAATTAAAGGGACTTTGGGATGAGTTATCATCTTATGTTATTCTACCTAAATGCAGTTGTAAAGCATCAAAGTCTATTTTAGATATCCAATAACAGGAGAAATTAATGTAGTTCTTGATGGGTCTTAATAATACCTATGCCCTAACTTGTTCCCAAATTCTACTAATGGATCCTTTGCCTACTACAAACAAAGCTTACTCTATGTTGCTTCAAGATAAGAAGCACCAAGATCTTCATCTTACATTAGCTAATGATAATATTCTTGCGGCCACAACAAAACAAATTTCTCAACCTCAATATGATAATCGAGTGAAGCCAAGGCGTGAAAAGACACATTGTGATCATTGCAATCACCTTAGTCATACTAAAAATCATTGCTTTCTCCTTCATAGTTTTCCAAAGCAATCATTTGGTCATTAAGTCAATAGTGTTCAGATTGCTCCTTTAAATGAGCCATTTATGCTAGCACCTCCACTGTCTATTGAGCAATATAATCAATTGACTGCTCTTTTATCTATTGGGTCTTCAACCACTGGCGCTACAACCATCCCTACTTCTTCACCAATTATTTCTATTAATTTTGCTACAAATCTTGCTAGTAAGCCTTTTTTTCAAAATATTTCATGGATCGATGACACAGAGGCAACTAATCATGTGTCTTGCTCTACTACTTCATGAAGAATTTTTTTCCCTTTACCTCACATATCACTTGTTCAATTACCCACTGGTGAGGCTGTTCCAATCACCCATATTAGTGAAGCTGAAAGATCCCTTTCTCTTTAGCTAAAAAACATGATTTGTGTGATGCTTTTAAACACATTCTTTTATCAGTTAATGCCTTAACTTTTGACTTAAATTGTTGTCTTTTTTTTTTTCTTTGGTACATAAGAAGCCATGCAAGGCTAAGTCCTAAGGAACGAAGTTCCTATAACATCTCCATAAAGAATGCAACTAATGCTCGGTGGTGGAGATTGGAAGAGTGTGAGACCTTAAGGAGAAGTGTTACCCACAGCAACCATATAATCAGCGGCCCCATTGCCCTCTCTAAGGGTGACCCATAGCAATCATATAATCAGCCATAAATTGTTGTGTCACTTTCACACCTAAATTTTGTTTTTTTCTAGGACCTTTAGACTTGGAAAATGATTGGAGTAGCTAGGTGTGAAGGTGATCTTTACATCCTTTCTCCACAACCATATGTTTGTTCAGTTGTCAAATCCACATCTACTTCAAATGTATAACATTGTCGGTCGGGGCCAATGTTGTCAAAAGCGTCCACTCTGATCGCTTAAGCGGTAAAGTGGAGCGATCTACTCCTCTGGCGCTTCACAAATTATTGAAGCGCCAAACTTCAGTGAAGTGGGAGTAAAGCGCCCGCTTCAGTGCTTAAGTGCTCGAAGTGTGAAGCGGTCGAAGCACTACTTTCTTTTCTTTTTTGGTTCAATTGGACAAAATTATCAAACTTAACCTTTAACTTTAAGGATAAAATAGTACTTTTAACATATTCTATCTTCTAAATAAAACCCTAAAAAACCTAAAATTGGATATGAATCGTAATTTAGTCGCCCAAGGTTGCTGTTGCTTCTTCTTCTTCTTCTTCTTTCTTCAAGAATTGAGATCAGGCATGCTTTCTTCAAGATCAAGCCTATGACAAGAAAGATCCACATTTGCTTCTCTTCTTTTTTACTTTCTTCAAGTTTTATTCTCTCATTCCTTCCAACATTCTTCCTTTTTTTCTTCCTTTTTTGCTCTGTTTTTCCCCTACTTCTACACTTGCTGTGTTTCCTTTTGCAAATGAAAACAACTTCATCTAGGTCCAGTAATAATAAGAAACATCTTGATTGAAAATTTAATACCTTAAAGGATCCAAGCAAACCCAATTATGTTACCTACAATTTTTGTAATAGAACAACTACTGGGGGATCAATTGAGCAAAGCAACATCAGATGGGGCATTTGGGTAGTGCAACAGTTTGTCCAAAAGTCCCACAAGAGGTTAAGGAAGAACTATGGAATTATTATTACAAGAAGTCCCAAAAATCCACCGGCTCCTTAGGTTCTCTTCAGATGTTCAATTATTAAGAAGATTATGAAATTGGTAATGATGATTTGGATGAGGTTGAGTTGGTTGAGTGTAATGCAAGTGGTAAACGGTTGTTAACTAGAAAATCAAGGGTTGGAATGCAAGGTAGGGGGAAGAATACTAAAGGCCCAATGGATTTTTATTTGATGAAACTAGAAACTATAGTTCAAAGAAGAAAAGAAAGCAAAATGAGGCAAACGGGTATAAAGGACAGTGATCCATAAGCAAGTGCTAGGACAGTCCAGTATATAGAAAGATTTTTTTATCAAGTTGGAATCCCATTTAATGCAGTACATTTGGATAGTTTCAAATATATGGGAGAAGCTATTGGGAGGTATGGTCCAAATTTAAAGCCTCCTAGCTATCATGAGTTGTGGGCTTCATTGCTAAAAAAGGAACTGCAGCTTACAAATGATATGCTAGAGGATCACAAGAAGAAACGGGCAAAATATGGTTGCTTAATTATGTCTGATGCTTGGACAGATAGAAGACAAAGAAGTATAATTAACTTCTTGGTGAACTATGCAACAGGCACAATGTTTGTAGAATCTGTTGAAGCATTTTCTTATATGAAACAGGGGATAGATTGTATGAGTTACTTACTGCCTTTATGGAGAGAATTGAAGAGAAATATGTCATTCAAGTGATCACTAACAAAGGCAACAATGATGTCTTGAGGCAACAATGATGTCTTGGCAAGCAAATTGCCACAACCTCAAAATAAGTATTTGTTTTGGACTCCATGTGCAGCATATTGTGTACATCTCATTTTGGAGGATACTGGGAAGCTGCCAAATGTAAAAAGAACATTAGAGAGAGCTATTTTTCTAGTTGGGTTTATATACAACCACACATTTACCTTAAGTTTGATGAGAACTTGTACACAAAAGAAAGCATTGGTTAGGTATGGGGTCACAAGGTTTGCTACAACTTATCTCACATTGGAAAGGATTCACAAGAAAAAAGTTTAACCTTTGGAAGATGTTCACATCAGATGAGTGGATGAAAAGCAAGTTTGACAAATAAGCTAAGGGTAAGAAGGCTACTAATGTTGTCTTGATGCCTTCCTTTTGGAATGAGATTGTATATGCCCTTAAAGTTATGGGTCCTTTGGTGGGTGTTCTTCACCTAGTTGATAATGAAAAAAAGCCAACAATGGGCTATATTTAAGAAGTAATGGATAGGGTCAAGGAAGCTATTCAAAAGGCCTTCAATGGGAATGAAGAAAAGTATAAGCATGTATTTTGTATTATAAATAACAGATGGGAAAATCAACTTCATCATCTTTTGCCTGTTGTTGGTTACTTCTTAAACCCTAAATTCTTTTATAATGACCCAAGCATTGCAACAAATAAAGAGATTGTGAGGGGGTTATATGATTGTATTGAAAAGTTAATTCTCAATCCTGATGATCAAGACAAAATCATAGATCAATTGCACTTGTACAAGGAAGCTAAGGGGATGTTTGCTAATCCCATGACAGTATGGTCCAAGAATAAAAAAGCACCTAGTAAGCAAAATGTAGAAAGTTGGGTACTTTAATTTTGATTTGTCAGTTGTTTTTTTTTTTTTTTTAGGAATTTTATCTATTATTTGTTAATTAATCATTCTCATAATGATGATTTGCTTGCCTTGCTTCTGTCTTCAAGCTCAATGGTGGAGTTCATATGAAATGGAACTCCAGAGGTGATGAACTTGGCTATTCGAATCTTGAGTTTAACTTGCAATGCTGTTGGTTGTGAAAGAAATTGGAGTGTTTTTAAGCAAGTAAGTAATTGAATTTGTTCATCATCATGCATGTGTTTTTTATAATTGATTAAGCAATAAAGTTTCTTAGTTCTAGTGTTGTACAACTTTTCATTTTGAGCTCAAAAGTTCTAAAATTTTTTACATCTTATATTCTATTTCTCTACTTGTTGGCTTAGGGACTGTTTTTATTTAATTGTTCTGCGTTTCTTTTTTAGTTCTTGTAAGTGACATTTTAGTTATCGATGAAGTTTTATTATGGTGACAACAAAAAAAAAAAAAAAAGGAAAAACAATTTGGTTAGGACAGCGAACAACCTTTGTAAAGCTAGTTCTGTCTCATTTTGGTTTTGGTTTTGGTTGGGTTATTTTGTACTTTTACGGTTTTACCTAGACTTAAACTTATGGTGTATTACTTGTTTTTGTTGAACCATTTTAAAAGCCATCTCTTTAGTTCTCAAATTGAGATATAAAACTTCTAAAACAAAATGCTAGTGCCTAGTGCTTTTTAGATAACAAGGTTCCAAACTGAATTTGTTTTTTCTTGGATGGATGCAAGGCATGACTATATGATGCTTTTTTTGGATATATCTATAAATGAGTTGTCCCACATATTTTGTACAGGGAAAAGGTTGTTTTTTTAGAGGTTGATACTCAAACTTGGTTGACTTATTTATTAAAAACAAGTTTGGTGACCGTGACCTATAAACATGTTGGCAAAATACAAAGGTGTTGAAGCTAGAGTGAAAAAGTGTCATCTTTACTGGTGGTTAATGCAATTCACTTCTTGCGTAATGTTTGTATAACATCCCTCAGTTTTTTCTATTCTCTTGTTTGTAGACTACCTTTTTAGTACTACCTACATGAATATACTTAGGACTTGTTTTTTTGCTCTTTGATTCATTGACTGCTTTATAAAGCTAGATTCCAATTTTATTTATTATTACCTTTTTGTCCCTCTTGGATTGAATTTACCTATTGTCTTTACCATGTAAATTAATTCCATAATCTATCTTAATTAGACAGATTCATAGCAAGAAGAGAAACAGACTTGAGCAAGAAAATGCAAAATCTTGTATTTGTTAAGTATAATCAAGCTCTTAAAGCTTGATATAATAGCAAAGATAACATTGATCCAATCTCCCTCAACTAGATTGATGATAGTAATGAATGGTTAATTGGAAACATGGGTGGTGACCACGATGATGCTAAAAATGAGGTTGTTTTTGGTGATGATGACTTGACTTGGGGAGAGGTAGCTTGAGCTTCTGGTGCTGAAGAGCCTCAAAGATATACTAGAAGTATTTGTGATAGACAATTAACACTAAAACCTTCAAGTTCTAAACGAAAAATAGTTGTACAAGAAATTGAAGAGGAAAAAGTCAACACAGAGGAATCAAAGGAATAGATTGAGGATTATCACTCAAGTGATGGGGATGACAACATTGATGATGATGAGATGAATGCAGTCGATGAGGATGACATAGATGCAGATGATTTATCTTAAATTTTATAATGATATTATGCTATTTTTGACTTTCTGCACTATTTTAACTTTTAATTTATTGACTATTATGCATGTGTATTGCTAATTTTCTGTTTTGATAATTGATGTTATGAACTTCAAAATTTGTTTTATTAATATGTCATGTTTTAAGTACATTTTGAAAAGGTTTAAGGCTTTTAGGCTATTACATAATCATATGTTCATATTGTTCACTTCAATTCGGTGAAGTGCTCGCTTCACTTTCCGCTTCACCACTTAAGCCTTTTGAAGGGCTAGTGCTTTAAGGCACTTTACACTTTTGACACCACTAGTTGGGGCATGCTTCCCAATCATGTCTTGATTTTCTTTCCAAGGTAAATAAAAAGATTTCTAAATCTCATTTGTGTTTATATGATGTTTGTCCTATGGAAAAACAAAGTTGCCTTCCTTTTAACTCCAGTTCTATTGTTAGTACTTCAATTTTGAATTACTTCATTATGATATCTAGGCTTCGCATTTTGTTCCTATCATAACCAATGCTTGATTTTTTTTTTTTTAACTATTGTTGATGATTATGGTTGTTGTAGTTGGATTTATTTATTGCGTTTTAAGTCCGAAGTTTCTAAGTTTCTTAAGAAAATTTTTGCTATGGTTTAGAATTAATTTGAAGTTTCTATTAAACAAATACGCGCTAATAATGCTCCAAAATTTTTCACACAAACTTTCAATCTTATCTAATTGAAAAGGGAATTTTGCATTCACACAATTAAGTATATACCACACAGCAAAATGGTGTTATTGAGCACAAACATAGATATACCTTAAAGGTAGCACATGCCCTTTGTTTCCAGGCAAATTTGCCATCTAAATTTTGGAGGGAATGTGGCCTTATAGTTGTTTGTCTAATTAATAGATTGTCCTCTCCAATTCTTTAAAACAAAAGTCCATATGAGAAGCTATATCAATCTCCTCATTATAAACACTTGAGAGTTTTTGGTTGCTTATGTTTTGCTCATAACATTCATCACAAAAATAAGTTTGATGCTAGGGCTCGTAGATGTGTTTTTCTTGGTTACCCTTATGGTTAAAAGGCCTATAAGCTTTTTGATCTTGATTATAATATATTCTTTACTAGTAGGGATCTAACATTTTATGAAATCATTTTCCCTACAAGAGTCTTTCCAAAACTAATTTTGAACATGCTATTATTCCTTTATCCATTCTAGAGATAGAGTTCCCTTAAAAGTCTACCTTATTTGTTTCTCCATCCATAATAACTCCTAGTGAGTCTTCCATTATGTCACCACCACTAGACACATCATCCCTACATAATTTTACTCCTAATTTGCTTGTTTCCTCACCTACAAAGACTCCACCTCCTGTTGTACCACGTCATTCAACTAGAGCATGACATCCTCCAAAATATTTGGACAATTTTAAGTGTTATGCTATCTTCCAACCAGTTACTCCATCGCTCTCTAAGTCAATAGGTGTGAAATTTCGCATTTCCCATTTTACTTGTTACAATAAATTATTCACCACCAATAAAGCCTTTTTAACTTCCATTTCTTCCACTAATGAACCATTTAGTTATTCTTAGGCAATACAAGTTTCCAATTGGAGGGAGGCTATGGTTGTTGAGTTGTAGGCTTTGTAGGATAATAAAACATGGGTGCGTACAAATTTACTGCCTGGACAAAAGGCAATTGGATGCAAATGGGTTTATAAAATTAAGTATAAGTCTAGTAGCTCCATTAAACACTACGAAGCGCACCTCGTCGTTAAAGGCTATACTCCACAAGAAGGGCTTGATTATCATGACACTTTTGCTCTAGTTGAAAAATTGGTTACAATGTGTTGCCTACTTGCTATTGCTACACCAAAGGGTTGGGCATTGAATCAATTAGATGTTAATAATGCTTTTTTTCAAGGTGATTTACATGATGAGGTTTATATGAAATTGCCTTTAAGATTAGCAGCTTAAGGGGAGCATCGAGAATGTCATTTGATGAAATCCTTGTTTGGCTTAAAGCAAGCTTCCCAACAATGGTTTGCTAAGCTATCTTTCGCTCTTCTTAATGGTAGTTTTATTTAGTCTTGTTTTGATTACTCTTTGTTTATATATCAACTACTCACCAACAGACTTATGTCTTGATTTATGTTGATGACATAATTTTACAAGGGATAGTTTGGATGCAATTTCTAACCTCAAGCAATATTTACACAGCAAATTTCATCTTAAGGATCTGGGGGTTCTTAAGTATTTTCTTGGTCTTGAAGTTGCACACTCTACTAAAAGTATTTTTCTTAATCAAAGGAAATATACTCTTGAGTTACTTGAAGATTCTAGTTTGTTGGGGGCAATACCATGTGATTTTCCCATGGAGCAAAACTTGAAGTTGATTGATTTTGATGGTGCATTGTTGCATGATCGTTCTCAGTATTGAAGACTTCTTGGAAGTTTGCTTTATCTTACTATTACTCGTCCTGACATAACTTATTCTGTCAATATGCTTAGTCGATTCATGCATCAACTAAGAGAGCCTCATTTGCATGCTGCACATTGTGTTCTTCGCTATATCAAATCAAGTACAAGACAGTGCATTTTTCTTCCTTCTAAAGGCAGTCTTCATTTCCCTTGTTACTATGCTTTAGATTGGGCTAGTTGTCCAATTAGTTATCGTTCTACTTTTGGTTTTTGCATTTTCTTGGCAACCATCCTATTTCATGGCAAACAAAAAAGCAAAATGTTGTTTCTCAATCTTCTACTAAGGCTGAGTACTGCTCAATGGCTACTGCCACTTGTGAGCCTACTTGGCTTCAATATTTGCTTGCTAATCTTAGAGTTAAGCATCCTCAACCAGCCACCCTTTATTGTGATAATCAAGCTACTTTGCATATTACTACTAATTATGTTTATCATGAAAGGATTAAACATATTGAAATTGATTGTCATCTCATTTGGGAGAAAATTCAAGCTGGCCAACCTTGCATTGCTTATGTTTCTACCTCACACCAGCTTGTTGATGTCTTCACGAAAACACTTGGACGCCATCAATTTCAGCCATATCTACAAGTTAGGCATGCTTAACATCATGGCACCAACTTGAGGGGGAGTGTTGAGTTTTGAGAGTTCAATTTTTTTGAATTTCTCCATCATTATGTCTTTTTGTTATTCAAAGTTTTGTTGGTTTATCAAATCCTTTTTTGCTATTTGTAAATATATTTTTTATTATTTGTAAATATGTATCTCACTTGTATCCCATTATATATAAAAAGTTTGTTGTTCTCTTACGTATATATATTTTTTAATAGAAAGCACAACTCAAGTCATTGAGTTCTTACTCAATTTACAAATGCCATGCCAAATTGGCCTTGGTTCTTTACAAAAGTGACTGCTCCTTTCATCCTTTAATCAATAGAATCGAGAATGTTAGCAGCCTTGTCATGTTGGAATCTGGTCTGCGGCTTTGGCCCACGGAGCATTCAATGGTGGCTAATCTTTGAGGTCATCAGAGTTATGACCTCATGTTTAGTCAAGTTTGCAAACTGGTTTAGCTTCAACTTTTAAGGCTTGTCATTCTGGTTCACCTTGTGAATGTATTTCAGATTCTCCTTGAAGACATTGAATTGAACCTGCTTCTCTGTGAGGCAACGAAGAAACCGTGTGGTGGCTCCTCCAATGCTCATATAAGTCCTAGAGGCTCTCTTCAAAGGTGTCTTGTTCATAGGAATCGAAGCTCTCAACCCCCCCAAAACCACAGCTAAAGAGAATGCCACCAAGATGAACTTTACTATACCCATGCTCAAGACTTACGCTACCATACAGCAGAATTCTAGATTTAGTGCCTTTTATATCGAGGTAGTAATGTAGGATTTGTTCTTTTGTTCTTTTGAGGACAATTGGGCAGGAATTAAGGAGAAAAGGTGAAATTGAGAGGTTGTTATGCTGAGCATCGAATGTTAGCTGAAACTCCTTTTATCATTTTGTGCACATACAAACAAGATTGCATCCTAACCACGTTATCTTTTGTGATCTTGTTCACAGAAGGTGACGAAATGGATGTGGCTGGAGCTTTAGAACATGATTTTGTGCAAGTCGAAGAGATAATGATTCAAAACTGCCATGCCATGTCATGGCGCACATCCCAAACTCAGAAGGCCAAGTTTGAGCTATAACCTTAATACAACAAATTTCAGTTTAACTAGTTGTACACATGTAACTTTGAGGAAACAAACTTTTAAGTCCTTTTAGGAAGCTTTTGAAGCAGTGCAAATGAAATAATCTTCATAACTTTTGCAAAACATTTACCAATTTATAAGAAATCAATTTTAAGAATAATTTTTTATAGTCAAGAAACTTAGAAATCCAAGTATACTGTACGGAACAAAACACTATATTAGAAAATGAATTGTTGTAAACTGTTTACAAATTCTTAGGAACAAATTTCAAGAAAATCCTTGAGCTACAATAAAGTTTTGGGCAAATACCTTACAAGCTTGGAAAAGCTTGTTCAACCTAATTCAACCACGAGAAGCTCTTAGACCCCTAAAAGTGCCATTCACTTCATTTGTTAGCCTAAAACAGGGTGATATATACCTTGAGGTATAAATCCCAATAAGCATAGGCTACACTTAAGAGCCAAAACTAAACTCTAAAATTAATAGAAACAATAAATTAGCTTGCAGTAAGCTTCCAACCATAACTTATTCATCAAATAGCAAACCAAATAAGCTTAACCTAGGCATGAGCTTACTAATTTCCCTTGACAGATAAATCATAATAGGTGCTTCTTTGCCTTAAGAAGTACATAATCAATTTCAAGGCTTTTCATTAACACTGAACAATTAGAACAGGCTTCATTTGTAGCAATATTAGCATGTAACTCCAAGTATCACAGATAAGGTCAGCAAAGTGACTTTATGCTCAAGCTTATGCTTAACATGTTTAATCTCAGTCTATGGAATTCATCATGTGAGTTTACATCTCACCCTTGTTTGTGGACCAGCCAAGACATCCTACTATGTAGAAGTCTAGATAACTTTCTTTTCACACTCCAAGTTCTTTGGGTGTATCATTCTTTACTTCAAGTAACTTTAAGAGTATCTTACATACTCATTAACTTAGGTATCATACCATTGAGTCTTGATACTCACTAATTTAAAAATCTTGATTTGGGGTCAAGTCAGCAGTTCAAATCTCTATAATGCATAACAGCTAACCCAAAGATGTATCTATCCAAAAAAATATCATACCATTGATTCGCAATGCAGTGAATACTTCATGAAGCATACTCATGCATGTAATAATGTTACTTACTCTTAGCTCATATAAACCAATATATAAGCAAAATAACCAAACTCTCTTAGCTATACAACTTAACACAGTTGCATTCTTTCATTCTTAGTGGGTAACAACTCAACTTGACACCTATTTTGCAATGGAGCTGCTTAAGTATTTAACTTCCAATAAGCTTTCAACAACTAGCATGCAAAAGCAAATAGCACAAGAGATAATCCTGCTCCTTTGCTAATAAATTAGAATTTCACAACATGTACTAAAGTTACTATTACCAAGTTAACGACTTGAGTAGTAGAATGCATTTAAACTTCAGATATTAATTTCAAGAAGGCTTGGTTCAATTCTATTGATCATGCATTTTCTGATTTACAACATAAACACAATTAAATTAATTAGTTTCTATAAATATATTCAATTAGTGTGCATGTGTGTGCATATAAGGGTCAGTGCCTATCTTCCTTATCTCATAAAAATTAGAATGAAAATTATTGTAAAATTACCATAAAATTATGTTATGTCCATAAAGCATCATGCGAGAAGACTAAATACAATCTAATTCATGTTTTAATCTTAGCTTTTTTTCAATAGAAATTTAATAGAACAACATAGTTTTGGATAATTTTTATAAAGGTGATGAACACTTTTCCATATATATATATATATATATGGAAAAGTGTTACTTAATGGAACATGTAAAAAATTAAGAAAAAAGATTTAAAAATTATGTTATTTTAAAAAAAATTATTAAAGAAAAAACTAAAATAAACTAATTTTAAAAGTGGGAACGGGATTGTTTTGGTCTTTTCCCTACTTTACTCTGTCATCAACAGATTTCTAAGCTGTTTACAATTCAATAGGCCATAGAGCATAGACATGGTTTCTAATTAATCCCAAGCCATGACTTACACTTAGATGTTAAAAGTTCCTGATCTAGATGCTCAGTTCAGTTGTGGATTCTTCCAGTTCAGCTTAAGTCTAACTCATTTTAAATCAACTAAATTACTATTTTAGTGAACAATTATAGAAGCAAAAACCAAAGACCATACTTACCTCACAAGCCTCCTACTTTCTTGGTAGAATTTCCTTGGATTTCTTCAACTTCTTCCATCCTTGTATAGCAACTCCTCTGTCGTCCTCTCCTTTCTCTTGTTTAACTCACAAGCACAAGAATTGAACACGCAAAACTATTCCTCTTGTTCTTCTTCCCTAGCTCTTGCTCGACTAGCATAGCTCACTCTCCATTTTTTCTTTTTCCGATAGTTCAGCAGAGTATTCCCACCCATTTACTTCACTCGGCTGAAGAGGAAAGAAGAGAGAGAATAATAGATGCCTGAGATTGGGTTCTACCCCCTTTCAAAGACGTGGGTTGGTTTTGATGGAGAATCCTCACTATTTTTCTTTTTATTAATTTTTTGGTATTCGGTAACCACATTGAGTTCGACTAACTTGGAATTCAGCTATGTTAGACTTATTAAGGAAAGCTCTCCCAGAACCTATTTCTCAATTCACAAGACTCAAACTTAAGATTTTCTTTAAAAAAATCGAGTTTCTTTCACTTAAACTAACTATTCCTCGATGAGAATTCTGACTATTAAATTCACTTCTTTTTCTCATAAAAGGGAGTGGCATTGAGACTGGCAGCCCACTAACATGCAAACCTTTACCTTTCGAATTATTCCATCAATTCCCACTAATTAAGGACTCTTACTAAATACATAACCAAATGAGGACAGGTTGTTTCATGTCGTTTCTTCAAAAGTAGTTTCCTTGCTCTGGCATATCTTGGTATCATTGCTCCCCTAGACATTTTGGTGCACAAGCGCGGTGCAAGATGAACTTCTCATCCTTTTTACCTAACCTAATTTCAGCTCAACAAAACCTTAATCCCAAGCTAATTTTAATTTATCAAGTAAAATCATTTTTTTTTCTCCTTTTGGTGTTGGTGTACAATTGTGAGACCAAAGGTCATATATGAAATGCTAATTCATCGATGAACAGATTGCTGGGGTGTATGACATGGATCAGAAAGCAAGCTGCATTGATTCTGATATATACAGTCTGAACATGTGAAATAAACATAATGACAGAACCTGCAACGAGAAGGCTGGACAGTCCCTACTCTCAATTATGATCTGCCCTAAGGGCTCAAAAACAGGTGAGTTTGCACAGGAAATACAGAGCAAGCATGCTAGGGACATAATTGTTTGATCATATGTTGGCATGATTCATCATCCAACTTCCTAGTTTCCTTTGGCACTCACACCTATAATAATTTGCAATTTTGAGAGAGGGAAAAACAAGTCAATTCTGCCAAGCAATGGCTGACTGGAAATGCAAGCAGTTACAGAATGACTATTCAACTTCCCCTCACCTCATACAACATATACAACCCCTAGATGACTGATAGACTTCAATTTTTAACTGAATATGATAATTTACTCCCACCTATTGCTTATCCTAGGAGGGTAGAGCTAGTGTGTCAGAGTTGCAACTATTTGTCGAGCAGAGAACTTGTATCAATGTATCATCAAGGAAATGGAAGCACCGTGTATGGCAACATGGATGATGATACAAACACAAGCAAATTATTTAAGTTACATCTCCATGCTTTAAATTGCACCTAAAACATAACATGAACAAGTGACAGCACTAAGAAAATTATGCTCCCCATTGTCATTAGAAGGAAGACACAATGTTAACTGAAATTTATGTGCAATTGGTGAATCTTATTTTCCAGGTTTAAACAAATATATGAATTGGGGTTAGTTTGACAATATCCAGAACAATACAAGCATTTCTTCTCCCAGCTTGATAGTAGACAGAAAACAACAGCTGGAGAAATGGAACAACTTAGTCTAGATAAGGACTTGCTTATTATCTTATAAAGAGAAGCAAGGTGATAGCACATCTAAAAAAGTCCAGTACAGCATACCATGTATCATTTCTTCTCATCCTGAAAACAACGCTAGCAACCAGAATCAAATTTGCTGTTTCAACAACAGAAGCACTAGATTAATAAATCCCACAAAAATTTAACAGAAAATGCATTCAATACAATCCCTTTCCTCAATTACCAAGGGCAGATCTTCAAATTAATTTTCTTGATCATGTAGAACAAACTCAAATGTCACTAAAAGATGCACACATAGGATACAAACTACAAACAGAATAAGCAGTAAATTCCATTATCTTATAAAAGATGATGCTAAATTGCATTTAATAAAAGCAGAAGGAAACAACAATTTTGCCCATGGCACTCATGGTTATCTTCTCATACGTGATTTTATGCTTTCCGCATTCCCATAAAAGTCTAAATTTAAAACAATTCAAGATACAGAAAGCCTCCAGCAACGAAAGATCAAGCAAGTTTATCATTCTCTCTGGCTTGTCGAAGCAGCTCTTCCCTGACTCTCTTGATCTCCGCTTCCTTCTCCAATCTTTCTGTCTGCAAAAAAGAACCAAAAATCAAACCAATGTTTTGACTAAAACTGAACATTCTGGGGTTTTCAGACATCTAAAAGTAAGAGAAAAATCACAAACTAATTGGTTGATTGGAGCTGAGATCAGATTCCATTGGCGAATTTCAGGAGCTGTTTCAGATTGAAAGAGTAGGATATAGAGATTGAAATTGTGTGTGGGGGAAGAGGAGGAGGGTAAAGGAGGAACCTTTTCGTCTTGATGAAGAGCGATCCAAACATGGACTTTCTCCATGGATTGCCAGAAAATGAAGGCACCCAGTGTCATTGCGAAGTATGTCGCCACTCTCACCATCGCCCTTTTTTCTGCTCTGTTCTTCCCTTCCTGCTTCGTGCGGAGTAAAGGAGATGATGATGGATCGAACTGTGGAGATGACGGAAGAGTGGAATTTCATGGCAAAAGGTGCAGATCACCCCCTAAACTCACCAACTGGTGGCAAATCAACCCCTCAACTCACCTGCAGTGGCAAATCAGCCCCTCTCTTAACCCTTCCGTTAACACTTAACGGTCCGCTCATCAGCCCTTCCTCTGTGTTTGACGTGGCCTTCTTTTTGCTGAGGTGGATGCTGAGGTGGAGGCACA